TATTAGCTCTTCCGGAAGGGATGGAAGGTTTTGTGGTATTCTGTGATGCATCAATATTAGGACTGGGAGCGGTACTGATGCAGAAGGGACATGTGATAGCATATGCATCGAGGCAGTTGAAGCCTCACGAGACGAGGTACCCCACACATGATTTGGAGTTGGGGGCAGTGGTGTTCGCCCTCAAGATTTGGCGGCACTACTTGTATGGGGTTCGTTGTACGATATACACGGACCATAAGAGCTTGAAGTACTTGATGGATCAGCCTAACCTGAATATGCGGCAAAGGAGGTGGTTAGATGTGGTCAAGGATTATGATTGCGAGATCTTGTACCACCCGGGCAAGGCTAATGTGGTAGCCGACGCGTTGAGTCGCAGGGCGGAGAATACTCCACTGCGAGAGGTATGTTTGAGATTGACAGTGATAGCTCCAGTTCTGGATGCCATTCGTGGGGCACAGGCCGAGGCTGTGCGACCGGAGATGCAGAAGAGAGAACGGGTCGTTGGGTTGGTTTCTGAGTTTGTATCGGATAGTCGAGGGCTTATGACTTATCAGGGCCGGATCTGGGTACCGTTTGTGGGCGGTACGCGTACTACATTGATGGAGGAGGCTCATAGATCGAAATTTTCGATCCATCCCGGGGCTACGAAGATGTATTTGGACTTGAGGAAAGAGTATTGGTGGCCTTGTATGAAGAGGGATGTCGCATGGTTTGTCGAGAGGTGTTTGACCTGTCGAAGGGTAAAGGCCGAACACCAGAGACCGCATGGCAAGTTGCAGCCATTGGAGGTTCCCGAGTGGAAGTGGGAACAAATCACTATGGATTTCATCACCAAATTGCCGAGGACTGCCAGAGGAGTCGATGCAATTTGGGTGATTGTGGATAGGTTGACAAAGAGCGCTCACTTTCTTGCCATCAGTGAGAGTTCTTCGGCGGAAAAGTTGGCGGAGATTTATGTGAGGGAAGTTGTATCTCGGCATGGGGTGCCGATCTCGATTGTTTCAGACCGCGATGTGCGTTTCACTTCCCGGTTCTGGAAGAAATTTCATGAGGAGTTGGGTACTAAGCTGCATTTTAGTACCGCATATCACCCCCAGACCGACGGCCAGAGTGAGCGGACGATTCAGACACTTGAGGACATGCTTCGAGCATGTGTATTGGATTTTGGGGGTAGTTGGGATACGTATTTGCCCTTGGCAGAGTTTTCCTACAATAACAGCCATCATTCGAGCATCGGTATGCCGCCCTTTGAGCTGTTGTATGGTAGAAGGTGTCGGACTCCCATTTGTTGGGGAGAGGTTGGGCAGAGGGTAATGGGCAGTACAGAGATCGTGATTCAGACGACAGAGCAGATACAGCAGGTCAGACAGAGGTTATTGACCGCCCAGAGCCGACAAAAGAGTTATGCGGATAGACGCCGGTCCGAGCTGGAATTTCAGGTCGGCGACTTCGTTCTCCTGAAGGTTTCTCCTTGGAAAGGAGTGATCCGGTTCAGGAAGAGGGGCAAATTGGGGCCCCGGTTTATAGGTCCATTTCGTGTGATTGCAAGGGTAGGCCGGGTAGCCTATCGGTTGGAGTTACCAGCAGAGTTGGGGCAGATTCACAACACTTTTCACGTATCGCAGTTGAGGAAGTGTATAGCCGATGAGTCGGCAGTGGTTCCATTAGAGGATATTCAGGTTGATGCAAGCCTGAATTATGCTGAGAGACCAGTGGCCATCAGGGATCGGAAGATCAAGGTTTTGAGAAACAAGGAGGTACCTCTGGTTTTGGTTCAGTGGCAACATCGGAAGGGATCAGAAATGACCTGGGAGCCAGAGCATATGATGCGGGAGCAGCACCCGGAGCTGTTTTAGAGCGAGACTTCGAGGGCGAAGTCTAGTTCTAGTGGGGGAGAGTTGTAACATCCGGACTTTTGCCAGGTATCATGTAAATTGAATTTTGTTAAATTGTGAGGGGGACTCGGCGAGTTGGAGCTCAGACTCGCCGAGTAGAGACGCGGATTGGACGATGGATCGCGCCCGGACTCGGCGAGTCCAGGATATGGACTCGGCGAGTCTGCGCTGTGTAGTGAAACCCTAAATTTCCGGGTTTGAGACCTATTTAAAGGGCCTTATGGCCGTCATTTGTGCTCACCCAACCCTTAGAGAGAAACCCTTGAGTGCTTGGACGATTTGAGAGAGAAAGGAGCATATCTTGACCTTGTGGGTGCCATTTAGCAAAGAAGGAGGTGATCCTAGGCAAGAGGAAGCAAAGGAGGTTGCTATTTCGTGGATTTGGAGCCTAGATCATCAATCTAGAGGTATGATTTCGGTTTATATTCTGTTTGGTGAAGTATTATGCGATTTAGGGCTTATTATGGACATTTATGGGATGATTTGATGCCCAATGGTTCCCTCCTTGTGCTGAGGTTTTGGATCTGGATCCATAGAGGTCCAGAGAGCCTCACTCATCAAGCTTTTTGTATGGCAATGGAGTTCATGACCTTGTGTTGTAGTATTTGAGTCAAAAACATCATATATGGTCATATAGAGGTTGTATGTGCATCAAGATTGTAACTTTACGTGCTAAATGAGCTTGGAAGGACTGGATCTATGGGTTAATGGACTGGATCTGACCTTATGAGCAAGTTTGAGTCATTGCATGGCACGGACTCGCCGAGTCCGAAGAACAGACTCGGCGAGTAGCATGAATGTTGCCCGACCACACAGTGAGTGGTCTTGCCGAGTTGGGAAGGGTGGACTCAGTGGGTCAGGGGGAGTCAGAGTGGACAGGTGGACTGAGTCAAACTGGACTCGCCGAGTTGTTCTTGAGACTCGGCGAGTTGAGTCGTGGTGGCCCCACAACTCATGCCAGGTGGAACTCGTCGAGTTGGGAGAATGCTCGACGTGTCAAGGGAGGATCCCAGGGAAATTGGTGTATACGCTCAGACTCGCCGAGTCGCTATAGCGTACTCGCCGAGTCCGGTCAAAGTTGACCGTTGACCGTTGACCAGCGTTGACCTAAGTTGACTTGTTATAGTATGGTCAACCCTAGTTGGGAAAGTGTTAATTAGAGATGTATTGTGCTATAGGAGGACTATAGCTCGGCAGATCGAGTGATTAGCGATTTCAGATTTACGACTTACCGAGACACACGAGGTGAGTCTTCTCATTATACTTTACCTTGAGTAGGTAACCAGAGTTATGTGATAGAGTATTGGTATGCTATGTATGTTACGTGTTGTACTGCATTATTTCTATGTGATTTATGTGGTGCATATTTATCAGAGCTAGAACCTGAGGGTTCACAGAGTTTGGGTGCACGGACCCACAGAGTTATAGCCTCGAGTGGCTAATATGTGTTATATGTGGTATTTTGGGGAACTCACTAAGCCTTGTGCTTACAGTGTTTGATGTTATTGTTTCAGGTACTAGTGACGATCGCGGGAAGGCGCCGGCTTGATCCGTACACACACACGCTCGGAGTTTGATATTATGATCTTGGGATTTTGTATTGTCTTGTTTGGATAATTAAATGGTTGATATTACATACTGTAGCCCCGGTAGGGCGGTCCAGTCAGGTCGATGGCCCAGTATGCATGTTGATTGATTGATTATTACTGTTGTGGTATTGTGAGTATTGTATTGGTATTTTGGGGGTAGCTCACTAAGCCATCAGGCTTACAATTTTTAGTTTACTGTTTCAAGTACTTCAGGAGATCATGGAAAGGCGAAAGCGTGACCGTATCACTCCTCATCCTTATGGTATGATTGTTGGGACACTCTGATGGAAAATAATTTGAACACATTTTGTAAACAATGTTATGTAGTTTTTATTTATGATTGAAAAAGTTTAAATTTGGTGTGAATTTTACGAATGTTACAGTGCTAGATGAATTTTCCGACCAGCGATGGCGGTGGGCCGTACAGATCGACAGAGTGATACATTTCTCAGACACTACTACCCATAAGTGTTTAGAGAGACGATGTTCATTGTACAGACCGACGAAGTGCAGATCCACAGAAATACAACCAATTTAGGGTTTGATGGGATGATCTTCAGAGTTTTCCATATGACTTTTCCAACCACCACCCTCTATTGCATGATTCCGGCGTTTATGGTGGTGCCCTCGATTGAATCGTTGTTGGAGACGGTGCAGATTGCTACGCTCGATTGAATGGCTATTGAAAATGGTGATTGAATGTGAAAGATGGAAGGCAACGATGAGTATGGTGTTTTTGATGATTCGGATGGTTGGTGGTGGGGGTATTTATTTATTTTTAATCAAAAAAATGATAAATAAATAAAATAAAATAAAAAATATATCTATTACGGGCAAAATAATCATTTTATGTCTTCAAAGACGATCCAAGTGAAAAAATAATAATATAGGGACAATCCGAATTAATTTTTAAAAACAGACTGAACATGCATTTTAACACCTAGATGATTCATGTAATTACTCTATATTTTAATTTTAAAATTCTCAAAATTAAAATAATTAGTTTTTTTATTTAAATTTAAAAAAAAAAAAAAACATTTTCATTATATTATTTTTCTTATTTTTTTAAAATTTAAAATTCTCAAATATTTTAATACTTTTATTTATTTATTTTTAAATTAACTACATGCATAAGTTTCATAATTAATAGACCAATAAAAATTCCATATACTATTAACTTGGTTATTTTTAAATATTGTTGAGGATATCATTGCTGAGCATATCGATATCTTTACCCTATACTAACTAGGAATTGCAAAAAACTTAAACAATACACGAATTGATCTAGAAAAAAAAAATTAATTAAATTCCCAGCTGGGAAATTATGAAGAAATTACACCAAATTAAAGAAAAAATTAAAAGAATTCCCAGGTGTTCTTCCCCAAATCAAGATCATTTTTGAGCTTCCTGCTTCCTCCTCCTACATTTCATATTACTACATGATTAATTATATAAATTAAGAATTCCCCAAAAGAATTTTAATGGCAAAACCAAAGCTCTTCTTTAGCTTTCTCTTTTATGCCACCATCTGCTCCTGCTCTATATACATCTGCTCAATCCACTGCGGCAGTTTATCCCCACCGGCGACACCGTATCTATGCTTTTCCGGTGAACTATGCAGCCCAACTCCAACATCTTTAACCAGTGTATTCACCCATGAAACATCTGGTTCATTATTCATATTTACAGCTGCACCACCACCGTATCCGAAAGATGCAGATTTTCTAAGCTTATTTGCATCTTCACCGCTGTAACCCCACTCCAGTTTCCCGTCCGGCGAACCCCATTCGGTAAAAGTGGAGGTTTGTTGAGGGACTGACCGGAGACTCATGGTGGCTCCTGCTCCTCGGTCGATGAAGCTCTGACTGCGTTGCTTGGTGAAGGAACCAGATCTCGAATTCATGACTGCCTGAGCAACTGCCGCCGACGAATCAAACCCGTAACTCGTCGGTTTTCTCACCGGAGAAGATGAGTAGTTTGGTGAAGGGTAGGATGCACGAAGTGGGTTTGAATTTTGTCGGAATTGTTGATGACTGGTTGGAGATTGCAACTGGATAGGTGAGTTTGTCATTGAAGATGACACTTTCGGAGATAACCCATGAAATTGGGTTAATAATGACTGATCAAGAGATCCAAAAACGTCGTCGAGATTAGTTGGTTTTAAATTCAGTTCCCCAAATCGATTGTTGTGGTTGTAAAGATTAGTTGCTAGATCATCGATCATTTGCCTTCGTTGTTGCTGTTGAGTTCTAATGTTCTCCGATCCAAGCAACTCCATATCGATTTCCAAATCTCTAGCGTTCAAAGCCGTCTTCAACCTACTCCCCGGAAGTTGCAGCGCCGGCGGCGTTAAATGATTCACCTTGTTCTGCCACATCGGAGATGTCGGAGGGGACATCGGTGGAGTTGAACCAAGCGCCAATGGGCTCATCGAACCCATTTCCAATGAATTTACAGCAACAGATCCTGATTTTGGAGAAG